CTGGTGCCCATTAACCGCTCCGGTCCGGCTTGCTCTGCAGGCGCTGCCCAAGGGCACAGTCCTGTCTCCGGCACCATGCTGACACCCAGCGGGATCCAGGCACCACTCAGCTGGCCCAGAGGCGCTCCCCACGGCTACTGGGGGTTGTGACAGGCCCTTGGGTGACAGGGACCACTTCCCTCTCCCACCCTGCCCTGGGACCCCCGCTGGTACCCACGCCGTGTCCCACCGGCGGAGCCGTGTCCAAGTGCTTTTCCGCGGCAGGTGAACGACACCAGTTTCCAGAACCTGACCCGCGAGGAGGCCGTGCAGTATCTCATGAGCCTGCCGCCGGGCGAGGAGATGACGGTGTGGACTCAGAGCAAGCAGGACAGTGAGTAATGACCAGCCTCATCCTGCGCTTGTGCCTCTCCATCCTCTGTCTCTTCTGAGCAAGCATCAGAGCTGCTGGACTTGCCGTGGCTCTTTCTGCCCACACAGGGTTGTCCTTCTTCCCCACAACCCCCTCCTCCTCCTTCAGAGAGGTGACGGGAGGGACCAGACCATCCCAGCCCCGGTTGTGCCTTGGCATCCTGTGGCACAGGGGCTGGATGGCACCATGGCTCAGCCTGGAGATGCCAGTGTGCGGGGGGGTCAGGTCCTGCTGTTCGCAGCATGCCTGAGAGAGCCACAGGAGGGAAAGGTGTCCCCAACACCCTCCTTAGCAGCAAGGGCCCCTGTGCGGGCTCCCAGTCAGCCCAGTTCCTTCCCAAATCCCTCCAGCACCTTCTTGTCCAGCATCTTCCTCCTCAGCCACTTCTTTCACTGATGGCCCCTCAACCTCTGGGCTACAGTTTACAGGAAGATGATCTCGTCCAACGTGAGTGACTCATTCTACATCCGGACGCACTTTGACTACGAGAAGGACACACCGTCGGGGCTCAGCTTCGTCCGTGGGGACGTCTTCCACGTGCTGGACACCATGTACCGGGGCAGGCTGGGGAGCTGGCTGGCCGTGCGCATGGGCAGGGACCTGCAGGAGCAGGACAAGGGCATCATCCCCAACCAGAGCAGGTAGGGATGGAGCCAGGAACGGCCCCAAGATGAGCAGAGCTGGGGGATGGCTCCCCAGTGAGACGGAGACATGGCTGCTGGGCCCAGGGAGAGGCAGGGCAAGGGCTGGTGGAGCAGCGGTAGGAGGCATGAGCTGCTGAAATCCCTTCTCGGGGGTGACGGGGCAGTTGATGCTCTGGTTGTCCAGGGTCCTGGAGGGAAGAGGCTACCACAGCCTCATCCAGTGGTGCCTCCGAGGGGGGATGCTGACTTCTCCTGCCCCATTCCTTGGAGCCCAGAGAGACAAAGCAGGGGGTAAATCCAGAGGCTCCAGATCCTGAGCTCTTTCCCCTCCCAGGGCCGAGCAGATCGCCAGCCTGGAGTCGGTGCTAAAAGCCACGTCCGCTGGCAACCCCTCTGGGGCACGGGCTGAGTTTTGGAAGCTGCGGGGCCTGCGGGGAGCCAAGAAGATGCTGCGGAAGAGCCGGGAGGACCTGTCTGCCCTCACAAAGCAGGGCCACTACCCGCCGTACGAGAAGGTCGTCCTGAAGGAAGGTGGGCACCAGGGCTGTGTCCCCATTGCCTAGACCCCCCAGGGCTGTGCCACTGCGGGTGGTAGGGGACCCAGCTCCCCCGGGAGGAGCGGGGTGAGTCCCAGGCCCACGAGCACCTCGAGGAGTGGGGCTGGACGCCTGGGTGCTGCAAGCTCTGCCCTCACCCCCAGCCTCCCCAAGCTGTTCTGTCTCCTCCGCACAGCCAGCTTCAAGCGGCCGGTGGTGATCCTGGGCCCCATCGCAGACATCGCTATGCAGAAGCTGAGCACGGAGCTGCCCGAGCTGTTCGAGATTGCCCGTAAGTGTCCCCAACACTGGGGGAAAATCACACCCAGCAGCTGGACACTCCATGCCTGGGACCTGTGGGGGCTCTTTATCTGGGGCTCTGTCCCAGTCCTGCCTTCACTGTCCCCTCCCCGTGACACCCCAACACCTCCCTGGATTCATTCCCCCTCTCCCCATGTGCCATGACACCAGCCAGGCCCCAGACGTGTCCCCCCTCAAGGGACACAGGCCCAGGGCCGGGCATGGCCAGACCCAGCCTGGGGCTGCCGGAGATGCCGCATCTCCAGCCCCTCTCACGCCACGTCTCTGTGTCCTGCAGCGAGCGTACCCCGAGATGGGGCATCGGCCAAGGTCATCAAGTTGGACTCGGTGCGGCAGATCGCAGAAAGGGTGAGAGACCTTTCTCGTGTCCTGGGTGGGCGCAGGCCCAGGGGGAGCCCACGGCCCCCGTCCCTGTCCCCATCTGATGGCTGTGCCCTGCCCCAGGACAAGCACGCCCTGTTGGACATCACGCCCTCGGCTGTGGAGCGCCTCAACTACGTGCAGTACTACCCGGTGGTGGTGTTTTGTGAGCCCGAGAGCCGGCAGGGCATCAAGGCCATGCGGCAGTGGCTGGCGCCTGACTCCAGGAAGAGCTCCCGGCGCCTCTACGCCCAGGCCAGCAAGATGAAGAAGTACTGCAGCCACCTCTTCACCTTTTTTTTCCACCACCAGCCTCAGCGGCAGCAGCAACGCCTGGTACGAGGCCATCAAGGGCATCATCCGGACGCAGCAGAGCCAGCCCATCTGGACGTCGGCGGAGCAGGTACAGGGCACGGGGTCCCCGTGGCGAGGGTCAGGCTGCTGGGGCTGCAGCCAGGCAGGTGCTGGGGC